CCCGATCACTGCCGCTTTGCCGGGGCTGCTCACCAACAACCAGCCGGCCCGCATCTTCGAGCGCGTCAAGCTGGACATCAACGCGTTCGAGGACGCCTACTCGCTCGCGCGCCGCCGCGACCTGCACGACTACTGCTACATCGAGGGCGCCAATGTCGCTCGACGCCTCCCTCACCTTCGACCAACCGTCTCACCTTCTACAGCCTTCTAGGCACCAACCCGCTCAACGTCTCCCTCACCTTCTATAAGATCGAGGTGGACATCTTCTACGACGGGGAGTGGATTGGTGACGTGCACGTGCCGTGCGTGCCCCCCCCCCCCTCCCCCCCCCTGCCCGCCCCGCCGGCCGCCGCCGCGGCGCCTGATCTCCACCATCCCACCACCCACCCTCAATCAACGCACTCTTCCACCGCGCCACAACCCTCACCCCCACCATGCCTCCAGGTGGCTCGACACGCCGATCAACATGTCGGCGTACCAGCAGCGCTACACGCCGCCCGTGCGCTTCCCCGTGCGGCTGAGTGCCTCGACCACGACGGTGCTCAGCATGTTTGAGCGGCTGATGCTGCCTAACGGCCTCATCTACGTCGACGTCGCCGTCAACTTGACCTTCTCCGCCGGCAACCAGGTGCGAGCAGCCCCGCCCGAGCAAACCTCGACCCCGGCCCGCGCCACGTGCTTCGGTAGCCCGCCCGCGCATGGCCCGCAACCGACACCGAGCGCCGCCCGCGCTCTCGCTCCCGCCCAGGTCTACACCATGCCACACTACGACACCGGGGTTGAGGTGAGCCTCCATTTATGACGTGCTCATGGTCCTGTGCCTCGTGCTCATGGGCCTTTGCCCTCCCTCCCCCACCCTTGTGGCTGCTTTGGTGTACGCATGTGCATACCCTTTGGTCCTTATTGAGGCTCGCGAGCTGGCTCGCCCTTGCGGTGGCCACCGCTGGCCAGCTGCCCCGCTGCTGCTCGCGGGCCTGACAGCATTTTGCCGACTGTGTCTGTGTGTTTTCTAGC